TTGCCAGAAAAAGACAAGTTGCTGTGGAGATCAAATGGCAACTGATAACGGCGGTGAACAAATAAATATATGAGCAAAAAATAAATAATTGAACGGTAAAATAAATTAGCAGGTGAAAAATGATTAATTAAAGAGGTAAAATAAGCAGATGAATGAATTGATGAATAAATATATAACTGATTAAAAAAATTAGCATTTATGACCCATAAATAGTTGAATATATAAACAGATGAGCATTTATACATTCAACTATTAGGGATCATCAGTGCTAATTATGTGCTTGTTCAGTTGTTTAATTTATCAATACAAACCAATTGATATATTAACAACTGAACAAGCATATAACTAATTAAGAAGCAAATAAACAGTAAACAAATATGTAAATAAGCATTTAAGCGGATAAGAAGTAAATTAGTGAATAATTGACGAAATATTAAATAAGTGAAAAATGGGAAACTATCAAATTGACACTAATTCTCTTAATGATAAATGAATAAGCAAGTGATGCATTTCGCCGCTATATTGGAAAAAATTGAAATTTGATAATGAAAATTCTACTAACATCCCATTTTAATGAAACGAATTTCTTCACAATGGTCTTCAAATTTCAAGCTAAATTTTATTGAAATCCTGTATAACAAAATAAATATGTTTTGAATTTCGATGAAACTAATAGACAAACAGACTGAAAAGCGCCTTGAGATATAAAAGTTATCATAGAATACTTCTTCTTATTGAAAATATTGATGATAAAATATATTTTGGAATAAAAATTTTGAATTTTGAAGTATTTCAAACAACGGAAAATTTGTTTTAGTAATATACTCCAAATGTGCATAAATTTTAAAAATTCGTTTTGCAACTGATAATACAAACTGTGGTAAATATTAAAAAAGATTTTTTTCATCCCTAACATTTTGTTAAATTTTACCAAATAACTAATCAATAATTTTTGCTTGCTTTTTGGATAAAATGGATGAAATACCATTTTCTGTTTTTCATCCAAATCATTTTTTAATACTTTCTTCTTTCTTTTCTTTCTCTCTCTTTTTCTTCTTGACGATAAAAGAGGCAAAAAGAAGAGAGAAAAGAAGGAGATAATAAGATTTCTTTTTCAAGAAATAAAAGAAAGATAATAAAGCAAACATGGAAAAGGGAGGAAAAATGAAAGAATGGAAGCTTTTAACTAATTTTTTTTACTTTTAAATTTGGTATAAAATTTTTTTCTTTTTTCAAAATATGTTTAAGGATAAATCAAAAGAATAATTGGTGCTTTCTAAATGACTCATTTTAAGGAAAAAATAAAAACCAAAAAAAAAAATCAAGCAAATGTTAAAAATATAAGTGATCAATGAATTAGTTGTAATTTCAACCGTAATTTTTTGTGGCCTAACAAATTTAACATTCGACAAAAATATTTTAAAATATAAAATTAGTATTTGTTCAATAATTATAATAGTTTTTAAAACATAATCAGTTTTTTACAAAAATTTAAGCATATTTATGTTAAATTTTTACAATATCGGGTGAAATTTCATCAATAACGAAAAAAATATTAATTTTAAATAATTGTGAACTATTTTACACTCTTTTTCATTCTAAAAATAGTCACTTTGTGAACATCTTTTATAAATAATATAAATATTTCGAGACATAAAAATAATTTCTTTTGTTGTTATTTTGTAATTTTCTTTGTAACTTTATTTGATGCAAAATTATTGAATATTTGTGAAATAAAGTATCCATTAATTTCCATTTATCTTATTCCCCATTATTCCCATCAAATGTCATCCAAGATTCATTGTTTACGAGTAAATGAGTTAAAAGAAAGATAAGCTGATGGTTTGCAAAATAATTTAAATAAAATGGCTATGAACAAGCGGTGGTGGAGTTTTTCAATATTTGATAAAAGTATCTCTTTAAGAAATCCCGTATATATTCAATTGGCATCATTTTTGTCACCTCAACGCCAATTTTTTGTAGTGTAAAGTTTTGTGAATAGGTTGAATTGAAATAATATCCGATAAAAGTTGGAGGGATTAAAAAATGTATTTTTTTAAATGTCGAAAATAGCATTGAACTTTCGAGTGCATTCAGAATATTGGTTAATAGCAATTAATCTTTCGAAACTTCTCGTATTCACAATTATTTGCAATCATTGCAAAAATAGTTATAATAAATGAATATGAATACTTGAATGAATTTTCTTCATGCAATAATTTTTATAGGTAATCAATAATCCATGCTAAAGCATTCAGAAAATAACATAATCAGATCTTATCTTCAATATATCCAACACAATTAAGATATTATTCAAATATTTCCTTCTCATATCATTTTCTCGACAATTGCGGATGTACATTAATTCAGTATTGACAGCACTTAAGTATTCTAATTCACTGTTCTTTTTATTTTCTGATATCATTCATTTATTATTAACAATGAATATATTTGCATCACGTATGACACTTGATGATTAGCATTTAATATAACTAATTTTATTGTAGAATTTGTTTTCACACTTTATTTTAATTCCAATCCGTATTTTCTATTTAAATGATTTTTCGAAAATCTGAAATGTTTGTTGAGGCATAAAATCAGCCAAAAAATTTTGTATTTGTTTCGTCAAATAAATAACATCGTTAATGTAATAAAAGATTTTTCTCAGATTATTAATTAGTGAAAAATTAAAATTAATTTAACATTTTTTTCACGATAATTCTCACATTTTCATTCATTTTTTTATTTGTTTGCTTTTGTAATATTTATTGCTGTTGGAAAATTTATTTTAAACTTTTCTAATTATGTAATCAAATTCCGATGAGTAGATGTGAGAAATTTTTCAAATTTAGAAGCAATTTAAACATTGATAATTTAAATTGCTCCTAAATTCTAACCAAAATTTCTGAGAGAGAATGCTATCGTCGTTCAATTTATTTTCTAACATTTGACAATAAGAGTAAAATGAACTGTGCGGTAATTTCTAAGAAAAAAGAAAAAAAAGAATTTCAAAACGATTTCTTCTGCAATATTTCCATTCTCCATTTATAATTTTCGTCCTGAATCAAATCAATCAATCAATAAATGTAATCATCAGAATCATGCGGTACTGAACGCTTTTTATAAAATGGAGAATCTTCGATGAATCTGAAATTAATCAACATCTGTGTAACTATTAATTTAACAAATAACAAAATGATATATTTATATTTTAGCTGTCTTTTGTATACCGTTAACTTCAAACATCATAGATTTTATCATATCTTTTTCTTGCTCTCTTACTGGAACGAAGAAAATAGGAAAACGTGTACTTTACGTCGCTCGCGCTTGATGGACTCCAATAAGCATAGAAGGGATGTCCACCGCCACGTTTCAGTTGTTGATAGTAATAGTACGGCGAGAATGCTTGATGTCGTTTAATGCTCGGGTAGAAAAAATTTTCAAAATTATTTGCTTTCATTGAACCAAATGATCTTGCGCCAGCCCGTTTTTTTATCGAAAGTAATTGTCTAAAAAAATGTTTGAAATTATATGAATTAGCATATATGGTTTTAATTATGATATAATAAAGAATCAGAACAAATTAATAATAAATTCATAATAAAATGAATGACCATAACTATTCATATTTGTTACTTTATAACGAATTCGAATAATTAATATCGTTTTGTTATAATGTTTTTTTTTGCTTACTCGATCTATTAATCGAGGAAACTTTTAATTGATACTATGTCAGCGGTTAGTGACTAAATTAATTAATATTATTATTAGTAATTAATTGCTTAAATCAATAGGGCTTTTTTTTATTTGTAAACTTTTTTTTATTTGTAAACTAAACCGTTCGAGATCTTCCGTTTCCGGATTGGTTAGCATCGACGACTGTTCCTTATCACCTTCATTAATACCTAAAATTTGCAATTTAAACAGGAAAATGAGGATAATTTTTTTGGAATTTATAGACTGGGAAAGAAGAAAACAAAGACTCCTTCCTTCCCAATTTATAAATTTGAAAAAAATAGAAACCCTGCTTCTTATATATATTTTCTATCTTCAAACTGTTTTCAATCACCGTAGCTGTTTAAATTGAGCAATTTTGGCAGAAGATAAATTTGAAATTATTCATGAAGCAAATTAAATTTCCATCACTCAAGGAAAAAATCTCCAATAAATTAAATTCAAAATTTGAAATGAGCATATATTTGTCTCGAAGGATCGACTAAGCTAGGATTAATTTCGTAAAATGGTTTAAAATTACTCTGAAAAAATATTTTTTTTTTTAAATGGAACTTTTTAAATGCATGAAATGATGATGCTCATAAAAATAATTAACTTTAAAATTTGTTTATACTTTTCCAAATTTTTTACGGCGTCTTTTTCCTCCCATCAGAAATAGCTTCGTTATTCCCATTGAACACAATAATCTTTACCACTAATTATTTTATTTAATTGATCAAAATATTTGCTATCAATGATTGAAAGTAACACAACACATTTGCAATTGCTTATTTCATGGAAATTTTGGATTAAATTTTCGTTTCATTGTTTGGTTGCTATTTTCCAATTTAATTTTATTCCTATTTAAATTTAAGGTTCGAATTTTATTCGATTCTTTGTCCTTTCACTTCCTTCTGCCTACTGCCTATTTTGCTTTTTTTGGCTAAAGCAAAATTTCCGCATTACTTTAGCTCAATCAATTTTTTTCTTTTTGTTGAAAGAATTTTTCAGTTCATAATAAAAAATTATTTTTAGGAAAAATAAAAAAACAAGAAATCATATATTATACTGATTGAACACAAATGGTATAATTTCAAATCAATTCCATTTATGTAACCGAAAGAAAAAATGCTCACAATAATAAGAAATATGAAAAATATCCTAAAGAATTTATCTTTAAAACAAAAAAGAATATGTCTTGCTTAATTAATTCATGATATTTGTTAATTTTATCATTTTATTATGGAATTTATTCCTCATCGTTACTGTCCAAAAGCAATGTCTAACAAATATAATTAGCAAAGATAAAATTTATATTATAAATTTACAAATTTTTCTGCAGTAAGGTTTTAATCATATTGACTAAGCATAAATAATTAGCTTAAGTGCATAATTTTCGAAAAAAAGAGCAAAGGAATCTATTTATTACTTTTATTTACACTTTACCCGATTTGATCAGATATTTCAATAGTATGCATCTTTCCGTGTCAATTTAGGAAATATTTAATGATTAGCCTTTGTAATTTTATTAATTTAATTTTTAGTATTTATCATTTATTAAATCACTGAAACATGTAATTTGCAATGGATAATATATTAAAGATTAAAGAAATGAATGATTATCATATAATAGAAAATGGTATCACTATTATCAAGTTATGAAACAGATAAAGTGATATTAAAAAAGAATGGACAAAAGAGAATAATTATGACAGCAAAAGAAAATGATGTTTATCATCATAACTTTCTTTCCTTCTTTTTTCTACCATCATTGCTACCATACATGTAATCATTATTGTCATTACTCTGCTCTCGTCTCAGAATCTCGAACAACATCATCATTATATTTATTTCGTTTTTTAAGCCGGAAGTTGTGCGAGAAAATTTATGCAAGAAATAACAATTTCTGAAAAACTCTCCTAAGGGATTTCTCTTATATTCTAAGAAAAAAACACCGCAGAAAACTGGCAGTATTTTTATACGTCACAAATGTATTTTTCTGTCACAATAAAAAATTTCTAATAGAACTTTTTTGCAATAATATGTCTTAAATAAATATATTAATTTGTAAAATATTTACTGATTTTCTCTGGTCTTATTCATTTGCAATTTTATGATTATATTAGAAAGGTCGAAGCAAATTTATTAATTTGTTAGCAAATTTTTGCAGACCTAATTGTTCAGTAAAATAATTTAATCAGAAACTTAAATAACGGAAATGAAAAATAGAAGCAAAATAAAAAAGATAGTGAGCATTAAATGTTAAGGAAATTTTCTATTATTTTTATTCAATATGTTGGTAAAAATAAAATTGAAAAAAAAAGAATTTTTTAAAGAAATTTCAAGTTTCAGTTAATAAAACAAAACCGAAAACTTAAAAAATCAAACGACAAAACAAAAGTGCGAGAAAAGGAGGAATCCGACGATGTTTTTCTTCTCGATAGAAATATCGAATTTATACCCAATTTTGTTGTTACCTTTTCCATTTCAACTTAATGGCTAAATAATAGCGCGTTTTTAGATGGACTGTGAACAGCAATGATTTAATAAAAAAACATTTTTTTAAAAGAATCATTCACTCGATAAATCTGTGGATTATTCAGTAATATAAACACTTCCGAAAAATGCTGAAGAATACCAAGTTTGATTATCTGCAAGGAATTCTTCCAACTAATTAATATCTTGGATGAAATGGTCGAGATGATAAGAAATCAAGAAATTTTAAGGACTAAACCATATGGATTTATTCATTCAGGAATAAATTTCTTAAATTTAATTCCCAAAAAAAAAGATGAATAATTGATACATTGAAGAGATTGATTAAGGGAAAAACAGAAGGAGTCGAAATCTGAAAATTAAAAGCAAATATACAGTATTCTTCAAAAGTTTTACATGCCAAAAAAGTTTTTAAATCAGGAAAGCAAATAATGAATTCAATCAAAAATATCAAAATAATGTTAGAGTTATGAAGACCGTGAGGATAGGAAAAACTGAAAATAACTTTTAAATAAATAGAAAAGATCTTACGAAGTTTTTTTTTTCATTTAAATCACATCTGATATCAAAATTCTGTATGATATTCGCAATTTATGATATTTCACAGACTTAAAATATCCACAACTCATAATACTTGAAGAACTAATGTAAAATGTTATACGATTAATGATATTTCACGATTGAAATTAAAATTTATGAATTTATGATAATTGAAAGTCAATATATTTCAAATTTATGACCTTTCAAAAATCAATTTAAAATATTTCCAGCTTATAATATTTTACCAAAGTAATTCAAAGTTTCACAGTATGATACGTCGAAAGAAATATTCTTACTGTCAAAACATTTTACGGTAGATATTGCAATCTGATATTTTGTACTGTTGTTCTTTTTAAAAAAAAATCGAAAAGATAAAGAACATAAAAAAAATATTTTATAATTCTTTACTTCCGATATATTTTTTCTTTTATTTATTTGTTTTTCAACTTTTTCAATAAAAAAAATTTAAAAGCAAATTACAAAAATTATTTTCATAATATAAATAAGCATTTTCTTATTTACCGTATGCATATGCAAGCAAATAAAAGATTGCGCAATGAAGAAATAATTTCATTGCTAACATTGCCCAATCTGATCGCACCAAATTGTTTTCTCTACAAATAAATTTAATAAATATTAATTATTTACTAACAGTTCACTGACTACAATGAAAAATAGTGCATTATGCTTAATTTAAATCTTTTAATTCAAATCGATGTTTTCCTTTTTCTCCCTTCTCTCTTCCTTCATGCTATTTCCCTTCTCTTCCTTCTCCTAATTAAAAGAAAAAAGTTGAAAATGAGAAGAATGAAAAGAAAAAATAAGACGTTAAGTGAGGATGAATGAGAGAGAGGAAGGAGAGATGGAGGAAAGAGAGGGAGTGAAAATTGAACAAACAAAATAAACCGCATGCTTTCCCAAAAGAAATCATCATCTTTAGAAAGGAAAATGATGCATTTTAGTTAAATTAAAGTTCCATGCAACTTTCCTTTATCCTTCCATTCATTCCATCCCCTTTTTCCCTCTCTTCCTCTCCTCCTTCCTCCCTCTCTTCCTCCTCCCCCTCCTCTTTTTCCTTTTTCTTCCTCTTTTTATCTAATCCATTCAGATAAACTAAAACAAAATTTATTCCAATTTTATATCTTTTTTAGCTCCACCTCCCCCGCTTTTTTCCTTTTCCTTTAATTGCGCATATTATTATTATTTATTTTATTAGAGCACTAATATTTTGATTACAATTATTTCCTTTTGTTTATCATTTATTTGTTAGAATACTAATAATGCAGAAATTGTTTATTATTTATTTATTTACTATTATTCATTATTTATTTATTTCTATTATGTGTTATCATTGTTATCAGTTATTATTATCAGTTATTATCAGTTAATACTATTAATTATTAATCATCAATTATTGCTACTGCATATCATTATTCTGCATATTTTTGTATCATATATTTTGAAAAGAGAAAAAAAATAGAGCAGGGAGCCCATTAAATTTTTGTTTCTGATTTTCATCCTGCAAATCGTCGGCTGAATTTTCCATTTTTCATAGTATTTGAAATATTTCATCTTATCTAAAATTTATCATTTCAATATTTTTGATTTCGTGCCATCAAATATTTATTAATGCTTAGTGGCATCTGAGACATTTCTCAATTCTCGTAAAGCAACAATTCTTTCAATCTATGCCTGCAGCAGTTAGCAAATACAATTCAGTACGAAATTATCATTCATTGATTTGATTTATAATAAATGACAAAAAATAACAGAAAAAATTATACAATTGGAAATAAATGAGGAAAAGAAAGCAATGGAATTTTATGAGTTAATATGACATTTTAATATATTTCAATTATTAAGCATTTCTTTTTTGTCTCATTGTCGACAAAAAGGATACTGTATATTGGGATTTGAATTTTGCAGTTAGCCCAACTATGACATAATGCTGAAGGATCGCACTATCGATTAATTAGTAATTTTAAAATGTTTTAACGAAATCATTGCCAAAAATGGCTGCAATTAAATTTAACATGAGGGAATGCAAAACCTATGCACGAAATATGTGCTAGATAAGCAAATTAAATTGATAAATCCGTTTAATCGCTTTCTAAGAATTTCTT